CTGAACTTTGTAAGATATTCTAGACTGGCTGGTCAGGGCACCAACTGAAGACCAACATGGCTTCCTGAACATATTGGACTCTTGAAGCCAAACAAGCAATACTGCATGCTGAAGAAAGCATCCACCAGGTAAACTATTGATTTGGCTTTAAGTTGGATGATATTGACTGTTCCTGGTGGTTTAACTAATTTTTAACCCCAACTCTGGTGGAAGTTTGTCTGGCTTTTGTTACCCTGTTTGCTTCTAACCAAATAGAAGAGGGGGAAAGGACATGGGGCAGAATGCTGAACACCTTTTGTATAGAGAGATGGATCATAAATTCCAAAGCACTAGCTGAAGAGGGGACTGAGAGCACACCTCTTCCCCAGAAGAGTATTACAGACTGCAGACTGCCGCGATCTCCATCTAAGAAGCTATCCCAAGCTGTCTCCCCCCCCCCTCGGGGCCCATCCTGCCTGCCCCCAACCATCCAGGGGGTACCAGGAGACTCCAGACAACCCCAGCCCCCTCAGGGCCCCCCAAGGGGGCCGTCCTGACACTGAGGGAAACCCAAAAGGCGCCACGGCTGCTGGCCACATCCTCAGCTGCTGGCCACGAGCCCCACAGAGTCTCCTCCCTTGGGAAGACGCGCCGCCCGCAACACCCGCCCCCCTGCTCCCTTCCACGGTTGCCTCGGAAGCCCTCTGATGTGGGGGGGGGAAAGGGAAGGGGAGGGGAGGGGAGGGGAGGGGAGGGGAGACCCACCAGCACCACCACGTCCACCCCCGCCTGCATGAGGAGGTCCAGGCGGTACTTGTCGTCCTCGCGGGTGCCGACGGCCGCCCCGCAGAGCAGCTGCTTGCGCGAGTCCTTGGAGGCCAGCGGGTAGTCGCGGTTCTTCTTGAGGTCCGTACGGGCAATGATGGCCACCAGGGGGAGGGGAGGGGAGGGGAGGGGAGACCCACCAGCACCACCACGTCCACCCCCGCCTGCATGAGGAGGTCCAGGCGGTACTTGTCGTCCTCGCGGGTGCCGACGGCCGCCCCGCAGAGCAGCTGCTTGCGCGAGTCCTTGGAGGCCAGCGGGTAGTCGCGGTTCTTCTTGAGGTCCGTACGGGCAATGATGGCCACCAGCTCATCCTCGTCATTCACTATGGGGAGCTTCCCTGGAGGGAGAGCGCGGGCAGCGGGGGGGGGGCGAGCAGAGGAGAGAAAGTGGACCACTTGGCAAGAGGCGGGCAGGATCGGGCCCTCCCAGAGAGCAGCAGCACGATTCCTCCACAGCCCAGCTCTGCTCCCCAGTCTCTCTCTCACACACATACACACACACACGTAAACACACACACAAAGGGGAGGGAGGCACAACGGAGAGGCCCTGTGCCAGGAGGGCTCTGCACCCCACCCCACCTCCAGCGACCGGGGCCCACACCAGAAGGGTGCAACCCAAATCCCATTCATGCTGTCCAACCACCTCCTTTCCCAGGAGGGGGGGCAGAAGGCGCTCTTGCCCTGCCCGTTCGCACGCCAGCAACTAAGCAGGGGACCACAGCTGGATCCTGGGGGGTTTTCCTGACCCATGGAGAAATGGTGTGTGTGTGTGTGGGGGGGTGAGAGCATGAAGAGGCGTGCCTGCCAAGAGTCCCAGAAGGACACTCCGCTTGCCATGGGGGGGGGATGGGCAACGCGGGGGGCGAACGGCAGGTCACACTGGTAGCCCTGCCCAGCCCGGCCGCGGCCAGACCCACCGTGTCCCCCAGGGAGGAGCCTGCCGTGCGTCAGCGGTGCCTCCCACGACGGATACCTTTTTTGCTCCGCTGCAAGATCTCGTTGGCTTCCTTCAAAGTGACCCCAGCGGGGGCCACCACCAGGTCACTCCGCTTGGTCATGACCTGCACTCGGGGAGAGGAGGGGAGAGAGCCTCAGCCAGCAAGAACTGACACTACAAAATATGTTTCAGTCACACATAAAAACTGTAAAAAGAGACAGAACAAATACGAAGAGTGGAGACTTGGGAGAGGGGAAGGGAACAGAAAAATGGCACTGGTATATGAGGTGGCATCTTCTCTCCATCTGGAGAATGAACAGCCACTCCTAGTTTTGCCACAGCTGTTGATGTGCACCTATTTCCACATTCTAGGGGCAACACCCGCCCGCCTGCTCCCTTCCACAGTGGCCTCAGAAGCCCTCTGATGTGGGGGGGGGAAGGGAAGGGGGTCCGAATCAACGAGGGATGCTCAAGCGCCCCCGCCCACCCTCGCCCCCCACCTCACCTCGCTGAGAGGGGTGCCATAATCCTTCTCGGAAAGGAAGTCGATGTCCCGGGAGGTCACGATGCCCATGAGGCTGCCGCCCATCTTGCCCGTCTCGGTCACCGGGATTCCCGAAAAGCCGTGCCGGATCTTGGCCTCGAAGACATCGCCCACCGTGTGCGTCGGGCTCAGCACCACGGGGTCCGTGATGAAGCCCTGCTCAAATTTCTGCACCACGAAGAGGGAAGGGAAGGGGGGGGGAAGCAAGAGAGCTCCCAAGTCCTTTCTTAGAAGAGGAGGTCCCTTCATCCCCCCCCTCCACCAGTAGGCCCCACCCCAAGGAGGCCACTCTGCAAAGAGGAAGAGCGGATCCTGACCGCCCCCCTCCCAAAACGCCAGGCTGGCTGTGCTGCGTTCCTCCATCACCACCTCAGGTCCTTCAGGGCGGGGACGTCAATGCTGGGCAGGCAAAACTCCACCCCACCCTCCGACACTCACCTTCACCTTACGGACCTCATTGGCCTGGAATTCAGGGGTGCAGTTGTGGTGGATGATGCCAATGCCACCCATAAGCTGCAAGGGAGAGCAGGAATCAGGAGGCAGGCCAGAGTCACCGGCCAAAAGAAGGAGGGTACCGAGAAACTGCCCAGCTCAACCCATCCGCCCTGATGCCCAGACCGTGTCCGGAGCTGGGCCAGAAAGATCCCTGCCAGCAAAAGGCTCCACTCCGGTGAGTATCCCCTACGCGGTCACTAGCCAATTGGACCTGAGTCTTTCCTTCCCTGCCAAGTAGAGCCACGGGCGACCAGCAAGACCTCCTCCCGCAGAGAAAACCATGAGGAAAGGGTGTAGCGGAAGCAGCTTCTCTGAGCATCCTACGGCGAGCCTGAGCGTGGCCGCAGGTGCGGAACAGCAGTCAGACTTTTCTCCTGTCCTCTCTAAAGCCTGATCCTCCTTGCCTTCAATGCAGGCCCCCTCCCTCCTGCCCCAGACAGGCAATGAAGGGAGTCACCCAAATGCTTATTCCACGAACGCCCACCCCCATCCCCCCGCAAATGCTCACCGCCATTGCAATGGCCATGTCCGACTCTGTGACCGTGTCCATCGGGGAGGAAATGAGCGGCGTCTTCAAGGTGATCTTGCGCGTCAAGGCGGAGGTCAGGTCCTGCAGAGAAGGACGAGGAGGAGGATATGTTCGCTGTGCAGGGCACGGCCCCACAAACTACCATTTAGAAAAACACAAAAAGCCACCAGCGCCACCACCAAGAACCCTGCGGTACTTTGGAGGCAGGCGACACACCACACAACGTAACCGCTCGAGAGCCGTTGCCACAAAAGGGAGTTCCCACAACCAGTGAATGAGCCTCCCGTGGTGGACCCTTGACTGATGATGCTTGGAGAAGAGTTTCTGCCTTATTATAACTTCACAATTGCTTCTGTTAGGATGAGCAAGGATACAATATTGAACAGCCAGGATTTCCGACATTCTGCTGTATAGTAAAAGCCCAATTGATTGCGGGAAAGTGGGCCACAATCATGTATTCGTCCTCCCCAGTGAATGAGCCTCCCGTGGTGGACCCTTGACTGATGATGCTTGGAGAAGAGTTTCTGCCTTATTATAACTTCACAATTGCTTCTGTTAGGATGAGCAAGGATACAATATTGAACAGCCAGGATTTCCGACATTCTGCTGTATAGTAAAAGCCCAATTGATTGCGGGAAAGTGGGCCACAATCATGTATTCGTCCTCCCCCAATGTGTGTGTTTAGTCGTTTAGTCGTGTCCGACTCTTCGTGACCCCATGGACCAGAGCACGCCAGGCCCTCCTGTCTTCCACTGCCTCCCGGAGTTGTGTAAGGTTCATGTTGGTTGCTTTGCAGACACTGTCCAGCCATCTCATCCTCGGTCGTCCCCTTCTCCTCTTGCCATCACACTTTCCCAACATCAGGGTCTTTTCCAGGGAGTCTTTTCTTCTCATTAGATGGCCAAAGTACTGGAGCCTCAGCTTCAGGATCTGTCCTTCCAGTGAGCACTCAGGGTTGATTTCCTTTAGAACTGATAGGTTTGTTCTCCTTGCAGTCCAGGGGATTCTCAAGAGCCTCCTCCAGCACCACAATTCAAAGGCATCAATTCTTCGGCGGTCTGCTTTCTTTATGGTCCAGCTCTCACTTCCATACATCACGACAGGAAAAACCATAGCTTTGACTATTCGGACTTTTGTTGGCAAGGTGATGTCTCTGCTTTTCAAGATGCTGTCCAGATTTGTCATCGCTTTCCTCCCAAGAAGAAGGCGCCTTTTAATTTCAGGGCTGCTGTCTCCATCTGAAGTGATCATGGAGCCCAGGAAGATAAAATTTGACACTGCCTCCATATCTTCCCCTTCTATTTCCCAGCAGGTGATGGGACCAGTGGCCATGATCTTAGTTTTTTTGATGTTGAGTTTCAGACCATTTTTTGCACTCTCCTCTTTCACTCTCATTACAAGGTTCTTTAATTCCTCCTCACTTTCTGCCATCAGAGTGGTATCATCTGCATATCGGAGGTTGTTGATATTTCTTCCGGCAATCTTAATTCCGGCTTGGGTTTCTTCCAGTCCAGCCTTCCGCATGATGTATTCCGCATATAAGTTAAATAAGCTGGGGGACAATATACAGCCTTGCCGTACTCCTTTCCTTGTTTATTTACTTATTTATTTACTTATTCATTCATTCATTCATTCATTCATTCATTCATACATACATACATACATACATACATACATACATACATACATACATACATACATACAAAACAATAAAACAAGGTTACTCAGGTTCCTGCCTGGTCTCTGGAAGGGGAATATTATATCTCATTAGAGGAAAAGCAGAGACTATATGGGAACCCTGGATATATGCTGGGAAAGAGACCTGGAAGACACATCCTTTGGAATTACTCATTTGCTGCCCTAACTGTGTTTCCTACACAGCTACGAATTTCCTTACCCCTGTTGCTGTTGCTATATGTGTTTGCATACTGATCGTCTCTGCTAGCTATCATAACAACCGCTTTCCATGCTGCCTGGTGTATTTTTAAAGGCAAAGTCTTCATTGTTAGCTTCGCCTGGTGGACTCTTGACCAATACTTCACATTAAAATCCGTAGCAGGAAAACTCTTCCTCAATGGTGGCAAGAAGACATAAAAAGGAAAAGCGCGGCTAATGTGGCAGGAGAACGATCTGGGGGCAAAGGGATGCACCCAAGGCCCAAGAGGGCGTCTGTATCACAACCAGGAAATTTCCCCAACTGGAAGCAAACTCCTCAACAGGCAAGTCCCTCGGCAGCTCAGGTCCTGGAGCCGACCCGGTCACTCCCCCTCCTCATTGGCTCTCTTGCCCCCCCCAAGCCCTTTGAGAGTGTGCCCCCTCTGCCAGTCTCACCCTAACGATGATGATGATGATGATGATCCATCGACTGGCATTTCTCACTCCCACCAGCCCCCTTCCCTTCCCTTCCTCAGCCTGACCTTCACCAGCTCAGCTGGCGGATTAGTCAACCAGGCAGTTTGGCCTAATTAGCTCTGACGAGCTTATCCCCTCAGCACCAGATTCCGAAGCACCCGACACGTGCTGCTTTCCACCCCGTCAAGTAATTTGGGTTCCCGCGTGCAGCCCACAAACACTGCCACACAGCCCTTTCCCCTTGTAGAGAAAGTCAGCCCGGCTGAGCATCCAAATCCCACTTTCTTTTCCGAAATAAGAAGAGAGAGAGAGAGTCAGAAAGCCCGTTCCCCTTACGTGGAGGTTTTGATAAGACATGTCTCCCGTTGAGATTACAATGAAGGCTGGGGGGTGCCCAGTGGGGGGGGGAGCGGAAGGAGAGTGGTTGATGAAAGGGGGGGGTGGATTTGAGGAACTCATCCTTGCCACAGACCACCAAGGGACCAACCTGATCAAGCAACATGTTACAACCGGGGCAAAGACCATCCCAGGCTTGCCTTCAATAAAAGCAAGGTAGATCCCGATCCCTCAAACAGCATTCAATTCACCTGGACAAACTTCCCTGCTTCTTCCCCACCTGTGTTTCTTCCAATGACATTTTGCCTCATTTGGCAGTTCTGGAAAACCCCAAAGCTTCCCTGCACCCTGGAGCTATGGGGGAAGAAGCGGGGCGGGGG